GATTAGACAGATAGATAGTTATAGCATAGTGCTAACAATCTTGCGAGGAATTACAAGATTCTTGGACTAACTGACCTTCAACGCTTGAGGACATTAAATGCATGTGTGCAGGTACGTGCGGTGAAGAAAGCATGGACACTCGGGAATGAGAGAAGTAGTCCGGCGTCGTTCTAATTTATGTAGACAATTATATGCTTCAATAGATACAGCAAACATTGACAGATTACAAACACAAGTTCTAACACACCAGCGTTTAAATCAGCCACTCTTAGCGCCGATATTTTAAAACTTCATTGCTATCTGCACAACCTATAGCAATATTGGAAAAGCTGCCGATTCCACAGTATTCTATTGGGTATAGTTTCATCCCTGCTGCGATCCAAAACTCACTGTTGCTGTATTGATAATTAAAAGAACATTAGCTACCTTGAAATTCCTCATTAGCGGGCTAGATTTTACCCCGTGCGCCGCGCTTTTTAGGTTAACAACAGCGACCTTTGGCGGCGTCCTAGTGGTTAAAAACACTTTCCCCGACCATTTCAAAAACACTTATTTCTGCGCTTGTAAAGTGCGGTTGATGAGCCCCTGATAGATATTCAGACGTATTTATAAGGGTTACCATGAGCATGAGAATATTACCTCCAACAGAGGGCGTGGTGGTTGCCCGTTGAATAAGGCCCCGAATATTGCGATGCCGATGGCGCCGACGCGTAAAGCCACCGCCCAAAAAATCCACCCGCCTTTTAAGGCTTACCGCAGCGGCCATGAGGTTCTGAAGGGGTGTGATCAGGTCTGGCGTTTAGTCCGTGGGGCCCGATGCTAAGTCCGGGAGTCCCGGGGACTCCGGTTGTGCAAGGTTATGGGATGCCCATGTTCAGCGACCACATGCCTGGAGGTCTGTGGTCCGTCCTTTTGGGCGGGTTCTTGAGGGGCCAAGCAGAGGTGATTTCCCGCGTCTCTGGGCACCTGGATTGCTGCTGAAAAATAAAACCTGAGTTCCACATTTCAGGGGACATCATGGCTGCCGGAGCGTCTCTAGCTCCGTCCTTCAGCGGCTCTGTGAAGCCGGGCAAAAGAGATGCCGGATCTTTACCCGTCGCTCCTCTTCCTTGGAAGTTGTGAAAAATAAAACAGGAGTCGCCCATTTTCAGGGAAAAACATGCTGGGCAGCGTCTTTAGTCCGTCCTTTTTGTGGGTCTTTGAGGGGGCCCACAGGAGAGGAGATTTCCCCGGTCTTCGTTCACTGGATGAAAGCGTGATAAACAGAGCTCTCCATTTTCAGGGACACATGCTGGAGGGTCCCATTAGGAGATGCAAAAAAAGTTAATTATATTACAAAGGGAATTTGCTGGCATCCGCTTTTGGATGAATTGTGTTTTTTGATTGTTCTCTTAGACCAACTATCCATTGGTCTAGATGCATCTACCTTTTTAATTTAAATGATTTACTTCATCACTGTGATTATGATTATTTTTTTTTTTTTTTTTTTTTTTTTTTTTTTTTTTTTTTTTTTTTTTTTTTTTTTCTGATTATATAGCCCATTAGCGAGTTGAAATTATTATGTTATACAAAGGCGAATTGCTTGCAGGTTTGATTGAATTGTGTTTTTGATGTTCTCTTAGACCAATATCCATTGGTCTATTGGAGTGAAAATTACTTTTTATTTAAAGAATGATTACTTCATCAAAACTGTGGGATTATGAGTTTATTGTGATTATTATAGCCCATTAGAGTTGAAATTAAAATTATGTATACAAAAGGGGAATTGCTGCCAGCTTTGCATGGAATCTGTGTTTGATGTTCTTCTTAGACAATTCTGCTGCGGTCTATGAGTGTGTATCACTGCATTTTTATATTTAAAAATTAGTATTTCATCAACTGCGATTATGAAGTTTATGCCCTTTATTGGCTAGTATAAGGTGTTTGTTTTTTTTGGTTTAAAAGATGTTGAATAGAAGACCAATTTCTACTGGTCTCTGGCGGCTTTGTTCATTCCTCCTAAAAATGTTATTTTGACTTTATTCATTTTATTGATTTATGATTCATAACTAAGCATCGTGTGTAATAAAAACATTAACCCATGATGTATCTGAAACACAAATTGGACAACGCATCTAAGTGTGTGTTGCGGAGGCCTACATGGCTGCTCGTTAATAGGTGATTGAGAAAGCTGAGTGAGTATGACAGGGATAGTAAAATCCTTTATGCCTGCGCAGTTAGGTTGGTGGCGTTGTATGTTGTGGTTTTAGTTGTGTTACATGCTGTGTTTTTGGTTCAGCCTCTCAATTAAGAAAGTAGTGGAGAGAAACAACATTGTTAAAAATCTTTGGCCATCTTAATGTAAATAATTTACTCAAAGAAAGCGCGTTTAAATTGCGCCTCATTATCAATATTTGTAGTTTAAAGGCAATAAAGGTTTACTTGAGATAGAGGCAAAATTACTATCATCGGCGGTATCATTGCTTTAAAGCCTGTTATCAGAAAACTCACTTAAGATGACACATTTAATGACGCAAGCCAGTTGAACATTCAGGGATATTGCGTTATATTTAGAAAAAAGACAGGAATGTGCCACATGGGAGTGGGGTTGGCAACGTTGTATATTAAAAGCAAAATACCAGCTAAAAGTTGGATACGATTTTAATGTCCTGCCTGATATTTGAAAAGTACTTTGGTTGCAAAATTCATTTTACGCCACACTTAAGAACCTTTGTTGGTGGATTTGCTGTTACGAAGACCCTCCCCTTAATTGCTAAAACCTTTTGCTTATTTTTAGAAAACAGTAAATGTCACAGATGTTAGGATTAAAAGTTTGTGCTTGATCATTGATAGAGAGAAATTTATTTTTACAGGTGATTTACACATAGACTGG